AGGCCTCTAGCCCTACTTCCGCGCTCACCTGCGATTCATCTAAGCCTCTCAGGGCTGTGTCCTCGGTTAACCCAGGACCAGCCGTGCTCACCAGCCCTTCCTCCGGGGCCAGGCCAGACCCTACTCACTACAGGAAGCTCCACTTCCGGGACCTGGAATTTGTTTTGCTTCACCCTGTCCCATCAGGGGATCTCTTGTTCCTTCTTTTTTTTCTTCCCTTTTTACATAGTTTCTTTACTGGGATGAAATGCACATCACGTAACATTTACCGTTTTGACCATTTTTAAGTGTACAGCTCACTAGCATAAACACATTCACATTGTTGTGCAACCATCACCAACATCATCTCCAGAACTTTCCATTTCCCCAAACTGAGGCTCTGTCCACATTAAACTCACTCCCACCCCTCCTCCAGCCCTGGCACCCACACTTCTACTTTGTCTCTAAATCTGACCCCTCTAGGGACCTCATGAGTGGACCATGTAGTGTCTGGCTTATTTCACTCAGGTCATGTCCTCAAGGTCCATCCATGTTGTGTCACGTGTCAAAAGGCCTTTCCCTTTTAGGGCTGAGTTATCCTCCCATTGTATGTTTTCACCACACTCAGCCGGCAATGAACACTTGGTTTGCTTCCACCTTTTGGCTATTGTGAATAGCGCTACTGTGAACATGGGTCTACAAGTACCTGTTTGTGTCTCTGCCTTGGATTCTTTGAGATATCTACTCGGAACTGGAATTGCTGGATCATATGATGATTCTATGCTTAATTTTTTGAGGAACCTCCATACTGTTTCCCGTGGTGACTGTGCCATTTACATCCCACCCGGCAGCGCGCCAGAGGTCCGACTTCTCCACACCCTCACCAGCATGTGTTCTTTTTTTTACATTATCATTACGGCCACATCCTAATAGGTGTGAAGGACTATCTCACTGCGGCTTTGACTCGCGCTGCCCTGAACTAATGCAGTTGAGCACCTTTTCGCGCACCTGCTGACCCTTCGTGGATCTTTGGAGAAGCGTCTATTCAAGTCCTTTGGCCAGTTTTGAGTCGAGTTCTTGGTTTTGTTGTTGTTGCTGAGTTTTAGAGTTCTCTATATATAAGGATATTAATCCCTTAGCAGATATGGACTTGCAAATACAGCTGACTCTTGAACAACATGGCTTTGAACCGCATGGGTCTGCTCATACATGGGTTTTTTTCAATAAATGTGCACTAGAGCAGCGGTCCCCAACCTTTTTGGCACCAGGGACCGGTTTCGTGGAAGACAATTTTGCCCTCGGGGTGGGGAGGGGGATGGTTCAGGTAGTAGTGCCAGTGATGGGGCGGATGAAGCTTCGCTCGCTCACCCACTGCTCACTTCCTGCTGTGCGGCCCAGTTTCTAGCAGGCCGCGGACTGGCAGTGGTTAGGGTTAGGATGTGGAACTTCAAATACAGAGGGCCAACTATAAAGTTTTACTCAGATTTTTGACTGCTGGGCAGGGGGTCGGCGCCCCTAACCCTCAAGCTGTTCAGGAGTCGATTATGCTTTCTCCCATGCCGCGTGCTGACTTTTCCCTCTGTTGGCAGTGTCCTTTGATGATCAAAAGTTTTTAATTTTGATGAAGCCCAATTCATCTATTTTTACTTTTGTCGCCTGTGCCATTGGTGTCATATCCAAGACATCATTGCCAAATCCAGCGTCAGGATGTTTCCCCCTGTTTTCTTTTAGGAGTTTTATAGGTTTAGTTCTTACGTCTATGTCTTTGATCCATTCTGAGTTAATTTTTTCACGTGGCATTAGGTAAGAGTCAAACTTCATTCTTTTGCTTGTAGATATCCAGTATTCCCAGCACCGTTTGTTGAAAAGACAGGGAATTCCCTGGCGGTCTAGTGGGTAGGACCCTGTGCTCTCGCTGCCAAGGGCCTGGGTTCGATCCCTGGTCAGGGAACTAAGGTCCCACAAGCCACGTGGCGTGGGCAAAAAAAACCCCCAAAAAACAAAAAAACCGCCTTCTGCCGTTGAACAGTCTTGGCAACCTTGTCAATTATTATTATTTTTTATTTCCGAAATGCAAATATAGTTTATTACAAAAAGTTTATTATATTCATAAATTATAAGAGAAAAAACAATGAAGTCATTTCCGAAGATGTCAAAAAGGGACTTAATATAATTTAACAAGCATTTCTAATTCAATAAAAGTTATTAGCGTATTACAACAAAAAGAATATAAGAGAAACTAAAAGCAACATTAGATTAGATTAACAGTGAGACACTAGCAGCCATTCCATTAAAGTCAGGAAGACAACGAGACTCACCATCACTGCTATTCAAATCACGCAGGAAATCAATTTAATAGGCCAACTAAAAACAATTCTCAAAATATTAGAAGAGACAAACTTTTCACTATTTTCAGATGTTATCATTGTCTTCCTAAAAATTTCAAGAAAATGAACTGGGAGAGGACTTCCCTGATGGTCCAGTGGTAAAGAATCCACCTTACAATGCAAGAGACACGGGTTCAATCCCTGGTCAGGGAACTAAGATCCCACATGTTGTGGGGCAACTAAGCCCGCGCCACGACTAGAGAGCCTGCGTGCCTCAAATCACAGTGCCCACGTGCTCTGGAACCCGCACACCACAACCACAGAGCCCACGTGCCTTGGAGCCTGCACGCCACAACTAGAGAGAAGCCTGTGTGCCTCAACAAAGAGCCTGTGCACCACACAGAAGATCCCGCATGCCACAGCTAAGAGACCAACACAGCCAAAAATAAATAAAATACATATTAAAAAAAAGGTTAACTTGTTTTTTTTTTTAAAAAAAGAAAATGAGCTGGTAAATTATTAGAAAAATAAGAGTGTAGTATAATAACAAATTAGAAAATAAATATTCTGAAATAAGTAGCTTTCTATATACTGGCAACAGATAGAAATATAACAGAAAAATCCATTCACAGTTGTGACAATAAAGCGGTCAAATATCTAGGAGTAAGTGTAAATTTAAAATAAATGAATAAAATCTATATGAAGAAAACTGTTCAACATTGCTGAAGAACACAGAAGAAAACCTGAACATGTGGAGTGACATACCATGTTCATAGATGAGGAAATTCGATATTGTCAAGATGTCAATTTTCCCCCAAGTAGATTTTTAAATTCAAAGAAATTCCATTAAACATATACTACATTTGAAATAGTGAAAATGTATAATCTACATAAAAGATGAAAATAGTGCAATAAACATTTGTACACCCCTCACCTCAATTTACCAGTTGTTAGCATCTTGCCACCTTTACTTCATCTCAACTACTTTTATTTTCTGAACGTTTCGAATGTAAGTTGCAGACAGCAATGTCACTTTGCCCCTGAATACTTCAGCATGCATCTCCTAAGAATTAAGGCATTTTGACACAGCCATACTCATCAGTTTCACACTTGAGACAGTTAACAGTAATACTATAGTTCCACCAAAAACAGTGCTTGTCAAATTTTACTATACATGTGAGCCACCTGGGGATCTTGTCAAGATGCAGGTTCTGATCCAGTGGGTCTGGAGTGATGGCTGAGGCTCTACATTTCTAACAAGTCACCAAATGGTGATGATGATGCTGGTCTGCCAGAACACACTTGGAGTTCCAAAGATCCAATATTGTTCCTTCTATACCCCCTTCCCAGGTTATCACTCCTCTCTCCTCGTCTAAAGAAGGAACCATTGTCTTAAACTTGGTGTTGCTTACTCCTCTGCATGTTTTCATACACTCATTAGATATAGGTACCCCTTAACTATACACCCTATGTTTTCCATATTTTTGAACTTTACATACGGTATCACATTGAACACATGCTTGGGCAACTTGCTATCTTCATTCAGCATTATGTGAGGTTTATCCTTGTTGATAAATGTAGTTCTGAGCCATTCATTTTAACTTCAACAAATCTTCGCCAAGGAGATACGGCTGGCGGGTAGGCTGGCTGCAGAGGACTCGCAGAAGTGTGGTGATGGAGGAGTTGGTATCTGGAGTTGGGCATTAACCAGGCTGCTTCATTTTCCATTGTGAGGTTGTAATTCACAAACAACCTAGCTTATACAGTCCTGGAGGTGGGGATTCCAACATCAAGGCTCCAGAATATTCGGTATCTGGTAAGGGTCTGCTTCCTTGTTCATGGATAGCCATCTTCTTGCTGTGCCTTCATGTGGCGGAAGGGCCCTTGTCAGTTATTCTGACTTTGCTCATGGTGTATATTTTGCCTTGATGGAGGGTTTTTTTTTGTTTGTTTCTCTCATGTGGTTAAATGTATCTCTTTGCTTTTATGGCTTCTGGACTTTGAGGCTTGGTTAGAAAGGCTGCCCCTACTCCACGGTTATAAAGGGATCTGCCCAGGGTTTCTCCTCGTACTTTTATGGTTTTATTCTTCTACATTTAAAATGTTGACACATTTGGAGCTCATCCTGGTACTCTGTGAGAGGTATGGCTACAACTTACTTTCTTCTAGGCAGCTGCACAGTGTCCCAGCGTCAATCAAAAACACCACCTCCCCTCCCCAGCAGCCCCGGATCTGAGGCGCCACCTTCCGCCCACACTGAGTGTCTGCAGGCGTGTGGGTCGGTTTCTGCCTTTCCTGCTCCACACTGTGGTTCATGCATCTCATGACAGGACACTATCGCCTTGATAATCGAAGCTTTGTGATATGAGTTCACGTGAGAGCTGAACCTATTCTTGCTTCGTTTTCTGTTTGACCAGTTTGCCGAATTGACAAGGGAAGATGAGCTTTTAGCAATTTTGATCGTTGATGACACTGAGCTGTGAAGCGCCTGGGGAGAACCCTCTGTGCTGGTGAGTCTTCCTCTCCAAGAACATGGTGTCTTCCCACCGCCAAGTCCCTTGGTAATGCCCTGGAGTGTTTTAAAGTTTCTCTCAAACAGGTTTGCACTATTTCCTGTTAAGTTTATTCCTGTTGTCAAATGTGCCTTTTTCACTCATTTATCTTCTAGAGTCTGTTTACATCTATAAAGACTACTGATTTCCGAGCAGTTGTCTGCACCCTCTTCCCAAACCCCCTGCTGTGGGTGGATTCAGTCCACTTTCCTGTGCTGGCGGGGCGCAGTCACGTGTCTCCCGTGATGCCGGCATCACCTCCTCCGCAGTTGCTCGCGTTCTCCGCCCCTCTTGCTCGGCTGCGTGGGCCAATGTTTCCAAGATGGCGCAGGTCACCTCGCGGATGGTGACACATCTCCAGCTCTGCTGTGCTCTGCCTGGCACTGTGCTCCTTCTGACTCCTTTCTTTCCAGGTGTTTTGCTCTCCTTCATGACAGAGATCTTCCCCGAATGTCTGGTGCCCTTGGCTGTTAATTCGCGTTTAAAGCAGGGACTGGGGCTTCCCTGGTGGCGCAGTGGTTCAGAATCCTCCTGCCAATGCAGGGGACACAGGTTCGAGCCCTGGTCTGGGAAGATCCCACATGCAACTAAGCCCGTGCGCCACAACTACTGAGCCTGTGCTCTAGAGCCCGCGAGCCACAGCTACTGAGCCCACGTGCCTAGAGTCTGTGCTCCGCAACAAGAGAAGTCACCCCAATGAGAAGCCCATGCACCACAACGAAGAGCAGCCCCCGCTCGCCACAACTAGAGAAAGCCTGCACGCAGCAACGAAAACCCAACGCAGCCAAAAATAAATAAATCTAAAAAAAATAAAAGAAAAGAAAAATAAAGCAGGAACTGATAGTTGCTATCAGTGTGGGCAGACTGGGGCAATAAAGCAGGGCCTGATGGTTGGCATCAATGTGGGCAGACTGGGTTCTGGCAGCTGGGGCATTCCTGTTTCTGCGGCCTCAACCATGCAGCTGGGAGCTGACTCTCCAGCTCTGCCCACTCTGTGGCCGCCCACTGGAATGTGGTTGCCACCTCCTGTTGGTCGGCCCTCCAACCCAATTCTGTCCTGTGGGTTCTTGCCTTCCTCAGAGCCCTCTGCAGTCGTTTCGGTGGGACTCCTCAGAAGCAGAAAGGCACAGGTTTGCCCAGCTTTCTGTGTGAGGCTGGACGTCTGCAAACCCTTGTCAGGGTAGGTCTTCTCAGACCTAGGCCTCAGCCTGAGGTTGCTGCCCTTCTGTGAGCACGTGTCCCCACCATGTGGGGCTCTGGGGCCCTGCAGTGACCACTGCAGATGAGGGCGGCTCTCGTGGGCTCGGGCTGGAAAGGGCAGGGACCAAGGGACTGGTAGGGCCAACCTGTGCCAGCCGGGCTTGTCCCTGAAAGACGATGCCTGACAAGGCCCAGATGTGGGGAGATCCCTAGGAAGAGCCTTCCGTGCCGAGGGTGCACCAGGAGGGAACAAAGAGGATGGACACCCTGCAGGACAGAGAGACAGCAGCCTGGTGCGCCCGTCAAGGCCACGGCAAGTGGCTGACATCGCCCAAGGGCTGGCAGCAGTGGAGGGAAGAAGCAGGATGACACCAGAGGAGCGGCCAGGGTGTGGGGGACACTGCAGGGACTCTGTGCCCCCAAGTCAGAAAGCTGGGAGTCTGCGGAGAGGGGTCTGCACCCCTTCCCCACCACCCCAGAAGCCCCTCTCCTCTGTGCCACGTCCTGCCTCCCAGCCTCATCCCCACACCCCCCTTACCCACAGGGGCCCCCACCTCCCGGAACTGCAAACTTGGCAGGTCGCCCCTGCCCAGGAGCCGCCCGGCCCCTCCATGGGCAGGTGCGCGGTGGGATGGCCCCATGCCCCGGCCCCTCCCGAGGAGTCCTTGCCCCCGACAGGTACACGCTCGTGTGTTCTATGTCCTAGCTGGCCCATCCTGAGATGCCGGCCTCATGGAAGCTGAGGGGCGGCTGGTTTCCGGCAAGGGCACAGCTGGTAGAGCACCTGGAGCCCGCTTTCCTTTTCCACCACCTTTTCACGTAAACCTTTGACCTCGAGAACACCCACGCAGACGCGTCGAAGCACACAGCTCCACGGGCTCCACTGAGCCTGGCCTGCCACAGCCCGGATCCTGACGCCCAGGGAACAATACAGAACTCCTGGGGGCGTGGCTTCTGTTGCTTGTGAAGCGCCCCCGGGGCCAGAGCAGCTGTGTCCTGTCCCCTCACCGCTGCACGGGGACCGAGCAGCTGCCCACCCCTCCAGACTGGGGCTGTCTCAAAGCAAAGCCTCCAGGAACATTTTGGCCAGACTCTGGTTGACAGGTCCTCCTGCCGACTGCCCGCCTACCTGGTCAGCAAGACACCGTCCCTGCTCCGGGGGCAGAGCTCCCCATGACTGGGATCCCTCCGCTCGGTGGTGCCCAGGGTTGGGATGGCCGGCAGAGGGGCAGAGCCCACAGCTGTGGGGGACAGGAGGGGCCACGCCCACCTTGGTGCCCACCCAGGGCTCTGGGAAGAGAATGCTGACGCTCTGCATGGCCGCCAGCCCAGCACCTGCTTCTTACCAGACGCTGTTCGGCCCTACCCCAGCTCGAGAGGCCCCTCTCCACCCACACCTCCCCGGCCAGTCTCCGGGGTTTCCAGAGAGGAGCCCGGGGGCCCAGAGGCCACAGCCCGCTTCAGCTTACCCAGTCCTGAGTCTGCAGCACCTGCTGACTGCTGCTCGGGGCCCCGGGCTGGCCCCAGGCCACCGCTGGGCTTGGTGGAGCCGAGGGCTGCCCGTTCTCTTGGGACGGCTGTGGCTGCGACTGTGGCATCTTCCCCAGGAAGGCCTTAAACAAACGCTTCCCGCTGTCCATCTCCAGCCCCTTGGGGGGCTCGCCTGCACCTCTGGGGCTCTGGGGGTAGGTGCCCACGGCTACCTGGGCCCCTCGGGCAGAGGGAGGCCGCGTCAGGATCTGCGGGGCTCATCTTCCAGCCACTGCCCAGACAGTGCTGGGTGGGCCTCAGCCAGGGACACCCAGCAGGGTCGACCCCCTTGGGTGTGCTGGGTCCCCAGCTCCTACAGCCATTCTTCTCCACATGGTCAAGCCAGGCCGGAGCAGCTGGGCCGCCGCCCTGCCCGGCCTCCTGCAGGCTCCCCCAGGGACGCCCCCTCTCCCACCGCGGCCCCAGCTCCTTGCATGTGCCCCCACACGGCCCAGGTGCGTCTCCTCAGGACCCTGCCTGCGGGGCGCACTGAAGGCGCGGAACGACCAGACGAGAAAGAAGGGCCCCCCCCAGCTCTCCCCGTCTCCCCCCTCCCGACCCCTGTGACGCCCGACCCCTCACCTCAACGCCCCCGGGCCACACCCCAAGGTCCAGGCTCTGCGCCCCCCGCCCGCACGACCACGCGTGAAGACGCCGCAGCAGACGGCAGCCGGCCCCTCTCCACTCCATGGGGTCTGGGGATGAGGAGTTCGCTGAGGGGTGGCAGGGCAAGGGTCATGGGGACACACGGCGAGCGTCAAAGGGAGGGAACCAGGGGAGGTGGCGGCCAGCGGGGGAGGGGCGGGATACACTATGGGTACGGAGGTGGGGGAGAGGTGGGGTACACAAGGGGTGCAGGGGTGGGGTAGGGGGTGGGGAGGGGCACACTACGGGGACGGGGTGGGGGTATACTGGGTGGGGGCGGGGAGGGGCGGGGCACACTACGGGGACGGGGGCGGGCCCATTGTGGTGGGAGGGTCAAAGAGTGGGGCCCACAGCGGCTCTGAAAGGCCCGAGGGGGCGGAGTCGAGCCCCACGAACTTCCGCTTCGACAGGCTCCGCCCTGCCGTTTCCGCTTCCGGCCCGTTTCCGTGCCTGCGTCCTGGTCTCGGTTGTCAGGGGCCGACCGGGGTTCCGCTCGCCACGCGGACCTGGTTCCACTCCGGTGTCCATGGCCCGGGGCTTCATCTCGGGCTCTCGAGGAGTCCCGGCCCCGCGCCCCTCGGAGGGGCTCGCCTCGCAGACGCCCCCGGCCGTCCGCGCCCTGACCCCAGGCCCCCTTGGGTCCCCGCCTCGCGTGGGGGCCTCGGAGCGCCGGCCCGCGACGGGCGGGCGGAGCTCGCGCCTGGACGGATGGAGGGGCCGAGGCTGCTCGAGAGGAATCACACAGCAGGCGAGGGAGGGCCTGGGAGTGCTCCCCGCGTTTATTAGTGTCGCATCAGCACCTTAAAATACTCCACGTGGTCACATAACGTGAGATTAGAATCTGTTTTCCAAAAACGCTATTTACATTAATCCTGTTTTCCATTTAAAAAAAACACACAAAAACCTAGCAACACGTACATCCTAGAAACCAAACAACGCACAAAGAACTGGACGGGGGGTCTGCAGGAACGCACGGCGGCACCCCTTAGCCTCCCCTGGGGGAGGGACCCCCAAGCCCAGTCCTCAGGCCCCTGCCAAGGACTTATCTTCCTCTCCACCGGAGGACAGGACGGGTCTCGGGAGGGGTCAAGGAACAGGTGTAGGGGTCAGGCAACTGGCCTTTGGGAGCAAGTGGCCCGGTCTTGTCATGAGGAACCTGTTCTGGGACAAAGGCCAGTCAGGTCTTCATATCTGGGAGTGAGGACAGGGCAGCAATGCTGGCCCTGGCTGCTCTGATCTGCCTGCTGCTGCACAGAGACCTTTGGTTCTGGGCCCAGAGTCCCTCTCCTTCCGGATCTGCAGCCGTGACACTGACTCGGGACACCGGCCTGCATGCCCTGAGGAGATGGGGACCCAGGGGACCAACACAAGGAGGGAGAAGCAGTGGCCGGGATACAGGGCTGGAGCTCACCTCCACGGGACCTCAGCGAGGGCAGAGCTTGCCCACACCATGCCACCAGGCCCACGAGGAGCCTGGCCTTACCCGAAGGTGGCTGGTGGCTTAACCTTTGAGTCCTAAGGACCACTGGTCACCCAATGGGCTGAGGACCCCTGCTCCTGTCCTGTGGGTCATGGTCTGGGGCCCGTGTTCCTCACTTGCCCCCACCGCCCTCCACGTGCTCACGGCTGCACTGGCTCAGTCACAGACGGCTTTGGCTTCTGCATCACCTTCCTCCCAGGGACAAAGTGCTTTTGTATGTATCCTCAGAACAGCTCCATGAGGTAGGCTGGGGAAACGTGACCATCCCCGTTTAGCCGATGGGGAAACCGAGGCACCAGCGTGAGCAAAGCCCAGGTCTCCAAGTGAGTTATGGTGGTTGGGGTCATCTGCACGACCTCCTGGGCCCATAAACAGTGTGGCCGGTGGGCCCCGTGGCACTGGACAGACCACAACTGGGCTCTGCAGGCCCAGCGGCACAGGGTGGAGGTGCTGGGTGTCTTCTCCTTGTGGGTACAAGGACACAGGGAGGCGTGAGGAAGACAGCTCACAGTAGGGGTGGATGGGACAGCCCCCTTTGGCCCTTCTTCTAAAACTAGCTCTGCAGCTGGAAAGCTAAGTCAAGGGTGTGTCACCTGCACCTCCTTCCCGTTGAGTGTGACCTTTGGAAACGCGAGCAGTAACCAAGGCCCTGAGGCCAGTGGTGGGAACGAGGGGGGAGGCTCAAGGTCCCCAGGCTGCTTCTGAGTGTAGCCGCAGGCACATGCTGCACAGGCCGCCCAAGGGGTCCTCAGCTCAGCGGCCTGCACCCTCCCCCAGGTCCTTCCCAGGGAGGGGCAGGGCCCCTGGTCCAAGGCCATGTCCAAACGCTGTCTGCCAGCTAGGTCCAAGGCCCTCAGCCATGGACACTCGGACCCCGTACAGCCACCTGGGGGAGGTAAGCAGGTAATAAAATAAGCCATTTTCCATCCACTAAGTGGGACCCCTCTGTGCCACAGGCTGTTGGTGAGGCCCGTCCTCCAGAAGAGCGGGAAAGGCCTGCAGCCTGTCTGCGTTTGGCACTGTTTCTGAGCACAGCATGTGTGGCTCTCGGCCCTAGGAAACTGGGCTCACAGCCCCCTGGGTGGGTCACCACGGTCCTACCGCCACAGCTGCCAAGGGGCAGGAGCTGGGGGGCTCTTCCTGTGGAGTGCTGGGGTGCAGGCCTGTGGGGTAGTGGGAGGACTGGCGAGGACCCTGGCCTCAGGTGGAGGGTAGGCTCGCCCCCCCTCCGCAGGGACCCAGACCACAAACATCTCCGTCCTGAGGAGCCCGGCCTAGAGGTGGGGCCCCAGCTTCACCCACAGCCCCAACGGGGCTTGGCCCCTATGGTCTGGCCGCCTTGTCTGAGCTCTAACTGGCCACATTAGTGTTTCAGAGGACAAACACCTGGCTGCCTGGCCAAACACCTCCCAGCCAGCACGGGGGCTGGGGTGGGGGCAGGAGGTGGCAGCTGCGGAAGCCACCGTGCCCACTAAGTCTGGGGCAGGCACAACTCGCAGAAGCAGAGCGGCGCCGCGGGGACGGCCGGGGGGGAGCAGTGGGTGTGGGGGGCGGGGACCCCGGGCAGCACAGCTGCTCTGCCTCAGCCCTAAGGGGCTGTCGGGGCTTCAGAAGAGCAACGTCTTTTTGGCAGCTACATTGCAACATGTATTTGAAAGCATTAAAAAATCCGCGACTATAAAACCGCCACTGCCCCCTGTGGCTGGAGGTCACTGGGATCCACGAGTGGGCGGTGCCGGGGCATCTCTTGCCTGGTTGGTGGCTGGGGCCCAGGGCTGGGCTGACTGGCCTGACTGGCCTCTGTTCTGCCCAGGACGCCCCCGACAGAAGGCTGGCCTTTGGCCTCTGGCCACCCAGCTCGGTGCCTGGGCACACAGGCAGCCGGGGGTCGGGGTGGCCGCCTGCCGGACCCTGGCTCCGAGGAAGCAGAGTCCTGGCTTTCAGGAAGGACAGGACGCAAAGGCAAGAACCCTTCTTGTTGGGGGGCTGGGTGGGGGGAGTCCTGAGGCCACAACACACCTTCCACGATTCTCAAGTTCAACACTGTCCGCCTGACCTCCCACCCCTGCCGAACGTTCTGGTTAAGAAGCAGAGCAGTTGTGGGGTCCCGGTGGGGGGCTGCCCCGTTAGTTTCCAGGTAGTGAGCATGTTCATACTTAAGACTGTTTTTCTCTGGGTTTTTAAGGGTCTGTCTCTGCAGTAAACTGAAATGTTAACAGAAAAGCAGCTGGGCCCTCCCGGCGCTCGGCCATCGCAGGGCTGCAGGGCGGGGAGCCGGCGCGGCCCCTTGGCAGGCGGGGCTAAAAGGTGGACTTGGAGTGTCCGAAGATGCAGATGGGGAAGTGCTTGACGTGGGAGGACCACTGGGCCGCCAGCTGGAAGAACTTGACGTCGTTCCACTCCACACCGTCGATGAGGACTGTGGGGGACAAGACCGCCTGACCCACCTGCCCCTCCTCCAGGCCGTGGCACAGAACGAGGCTGGAGGGCCTGACACCCCCGGGGACTCCCAGGCGACACTCGCTGGTTCTCAGTGGCCCCGTAGGAAGAGGTCTGGGACGGCCCAGCCCACCTTGCTGACCTTCCTGCCAGCTGCCCACCACCGCCCCCACGGCCAGCCCCTTCCCGACTTCAGGGGACCTGCTTGTCCACAGCCCCTCTGCCTCAGCAGGGGTCTGCAAACCCAATTTAAAACACTCTCCACTTAAACCAGAAAATCAACAGAGACAGGAAGACTTGAGCTCATGAAAAAAGAAAAATCTCGAGAGCTCATATTCTGTTATTTGCAGAGTATCTTCTATAGAAAGGCTGAGATAAAGCACAAAGGGCTGAGAAAACCATTCCACGCACACCAATAGCCTCCTCCACGCGTGTTCAAAGCTCAAACTACGCAGTATGACTTCATAGCAAACCAAAGCATTTCCTGAGGTGAACTTAGAAAAGCCACCCAGCTCGGCTCTGGTTTACTTCCATATCCTCCCCCCACACACACTCCCGCTGGGGGACAGAAAGAGAGACAGAGAGAGAGACAGAGAGACAGAGAGAGGGAGGCAGGGAGGCAGGGAGGGAGGCAAGGGAGAGGGAGGCAGGGAGGCAGGGAGGGGCGGCGCTCACCCCGCAGCATGTTCTGCTGGTGCTTGGCGGTGCAGATGAGGCGGCTGATGCCCTCAATGCACTGGCTTTTGGACTCTACATCCTTGTCCTTGGTTTTCTTGGGCAAAAACATCACTAGGAGGAAAAGGGGCTGTGCTGTCCTCCCATTGTCCCTCAGGGATGGGGGGGGTAGCAGGGGCTGTGGGCTCACCTTGGCCCTTGGACCCTGCTCATCTGGACCCCCTTCCGCACAGACCCTGCCTGCCACCGCCCGCCCACCAGGAGGCCTTTGCCCGGGGCTCTGGACAGAAGCGGCCCCCAGGCCTGTGGTGCCCTCAGGGCCTGCCCGGCGGCCCCTTCGATTGTCCCGACAGCCAGCCCGCCTCCCCACCTCACCCTTCTTGTTCTTCTCCTTGGTGACCACGGTCATGGACATGGTGGGCGTGGCCGCAGCCTCGCCGCTGCTGGGCAGCCTGCTGACCTGGAGAGACCGGAAGGTGCACTTGAGTGTGTTTTTGGTGGTGGGCGGGTCCTTCCTCTCCGCATCTCTCTTCCTGTCTGCGGGCTGGGCTGCCGTCCAGTAATCCACCTGCAGCCCCATCAGCTCGGCGCCGACGCCCTGGCTGTGAAAGACGAGGGAGGCTCACCCCTCCGTCCTCAGCGGGTGACGGCAGCACCCCCACGGCTGGCACAGGCGAGGAGGCGCCCGCTGGTGCCTGTGCTGCCCGACATCGGGGGACCACCAGCAGCAGCTGAGGACGGAGGGGAGCTCGGGGCCCAGAGCCCGCTGGCGGGCCGTCCTGGTCTCCTGGGGCAGCCCCATCTGCACCCGTGGCTCCAGCATCATCACGATGCTGGGGTCACCCAGGAGTGTCCAGACCTGCCGCCTGCCCACGCTGCCGCTCTGTCTGGTGGGCCCAGGCCCACCGACCCCTTGGAGGTGCAGTCTCAGGGCCCAAGTCCTCCCGACCCTGCGGCGGTCCTGCCTGGGTGAGCTCTGCTCACGAGAGCCTCGAGGGCATCCGACGGGGGCTGCGGACCCCCCCCCACTGTCCCCGCGCCTTCTACTCACATCTGAGTTTCCAAAATCCCCTCTGTGTGCAGAGCACCCCGTACTTGTACTCTGTAGTTCCCGTCCCTAGGAAGGCAGGGGGTGGGGCGAGGTGGGGAGACACCAGGCCAGGACCGAGCAGTCCAGCGCCCCGACTCACTTGTCTGATGAGCCTTGGTCGACACCACCACGGCCCCTGCAGGGCCGCTGAGCCCACCTTCCGCCCTGACCCTCTGCTTCCTGGCACCCCAGGGTACAGCCAGGGACCACGAGGAACTGCCAGTGTTCTCAGCACAGTCCCTGCTGCGCTGGGGGGACGGACGGCGTGAGCTGGGGGGCAGCGTCCGCCCACATGGCTGCATTTACCTGGGGGAGGACAGGCCCCCGCTCACCGACGGGGAGGAGGGCGGGGTGGGTGAGGCCTCCTTGGCCGCAGGAGATGTGGACGGCGGGGTGGACGAGAGTGCGCTGGAGCCCGAGGGGGCCGCGTCATCTGAGTCACCTTGGGAAGGAGTCGGGGGCCAGTGCTGAGCTCCCGCGCTGCTCTGCCCCAAGCCCTCTGGACCCAGACATGGCGGGGAGGCCAGGCAGCTGTGGGCTGGGTGGGGGCATGTGTGGGAAGCGGGAGACCCCTCCCCCCGCCCCCCCCACCCCCCGCTTAGGCTGAGGGGGAGCTGTCAGGCCTCCAGGGTCAGGAGTGGCCCATCCATGGGGAACAGAAGCCCCTCAGCAAGGTGCGTGTTGGTGATGGGGCTGCCCCGGTCCTCCTGCACCCCAGCCCCCAATGCAGGGATGATGGAGTTACCTGAAGTGGCCGAAGATGGCTCCACTATTCCAACCTTCACCACCTAGAAGGCAACGGAACGTGCTGGCAGTGGCCCGGGGGTGGCGCTGGGACTCCACACCGGGCAGGGACCTGTTTTCCTACCACCCATCCTCCATGTGCCCCCAGCCCCCAGGAACTCCTGGGGCCGAGCCAGGTCCCAGCCCCTCAGTCTGTGGGACAGAGCTAAGCTCAAGGGAGCCACCGCCTGCGTGGTCAGCCACGGTACGGGCCCTGCTGAGGGACCTCCCTGTGCAGGGGGCGTGTTTGGGAGGCGCCCTTGAATTAAAGCAAGCTCTGTGGCCACCCCTCACTCCCGGGACGAAGGCTGCCAGCCTGCCCCTGGCCTGGCCCTGAGCTGTGGCCAGCATTCAGGACACACGTGGCCTCCGGCAGGACTGGCGCCCTACCTCCACGAGCGAACCTCTCAGGGCCCACACCCTGGACTCAGCAAACTGCGTGCCTGTGAGACTGGCGGGCGCAGATGTCAGCGGGTCAGGTGCTGGAGTGAGGGAGCCCTGCCCAGCGGGGCCCTAAGGCAGCCCTGGGGCCTGCTCCAAACCCGCGTGGGCTGCTGGTGGGGGAGGGGGGGGCCTGGCCCCACCCTGACCAGGGCGGGAGCCGTGTCACATGAAAGAAATCACGACAACAACGGCTCCTGCCTCGGTCACGCGGTGGCATCTCAAGTGCAGCCAGCGGGACAGGCCCTCCCGTCACCGCAGCAGCTTCCTCAGGACAGGCTGCTCCGGACCAGCACCCTCCAAGTACAGCCAGCAGCCACCTGACGCCTGAGCAGAGCGAACCACGGCCTAGAGGCCCTGCTGTCTGCCAGGCTGCTGTACGGCTCTCACAGCAGAGGCCGGGCTGGAGACCACGGTGGGACCAGAGGGTGTGGACGCGTGGCCTGGCCAGCGAGGAGTAGCCCTTACTCCTTGGCAGTGGGAAAAAGCAAAACCTCCCAACTTACAGGGGTGATCCCAGCCGAGCAAGCCTGCCCTGCGGCTCCCAGAGGACAGAGGCAGCCCTCTGCCCCCACCCCAGGCGGGGCCTGTCCTGAGGCCCGCCGACCCTCGGTACCCCTTGAAGAGCTGAGCCTGACACTGGGCCCGGACACCCAGGACGGTGCTGAGAACTGGATCCTCACCCCCAGGTGGGCTGCCTGCTTCCACATGTCAGGCCCCAGCAGAGCCGGGGCAGCGATACGCCTGGGCTCACCCCCCAACCGCAGCAAGAAAAAACAGAGAGCTTTAGGGTGGGAGAAACGTATAAGGCAAGTCCTCAGCTCAAACTGGTGAGGAAGGTTCTGGAACAGATCAAGTTAATGCAAGAACAGAGCGATTATGGAAGACCTCTCGGCAGAGGAACGGTCTCGCGGCAGCAGGCGGAGCCAGCCAGGCGGCAGCGAAGCCCTGCGCAGGGCACTGCCTGCCCGAGCAGTACTCACCCCTACGAAGGGAATGAACTTCTGAGAGGACTCTTCGTCGGGGCTAAGACGAGGGAAACAGACAGTTAGCGCTCTCCCCGAGGGACAGGCCCTTTCGGAGCGGCCCTGCCCCCCCCACTGCCTCGCTCCCACCCTCCCGCAGGACGCCTGGCCTGGACCTCAGACCCGCAAACCCTTCTGACATACAGCAAGGGCAAACGCATCTCTGCACCGAGGTCCAGAGGCCCACGGGACAGCCCAGAGGGGAAGGGTGGAGAGTGCAGCCTCGCCCAGGAATCCGCCACTCTATCCTGGGGGCCTGGGGCTCGGGGCAGCCAGCCCAGCCTAGCCCAAAGGTCTTCCTGCTGGCCCCACTCACTGAGCCCGGAGAGGCCGGCTTTCTGTGCCCCCAGGATGCCCCAGGAACAGTCTGGGCCTCTGCCAGTGATCGGGGGTGACTGGCCCAAGCCAGGCTAGGGAGGTTTTCTCCCAGACGGTCTGGGTAAAGCTGGTGCCCACTGTGGGGGGGGCCTATCTCCAGGACTTTGGCCTTGGTGATGGGGTGCACACGCCACGTTCTAACAGAACGATGCCCCAAGAGGAGCCCGAGGGCGAGACTGAGGCTCTGTGGGCTGTGCTGCTGCTCTGTGCCCACGGGCTCTGCAGGACTTCTGGCAGAACCTCAGCCTCACCGGAACCGCTGGTCACAGCCCATCGGTGGCAAAGGCATCCAGTGTCCAAGGGCCCTGGGTGCGGGTGTTGGCAGGAGCCGAGGGGGTGCAAACCCGTCTCTTCCTCTCCCTCTTCCCCAGCCAGGGCTGCTCCTGCCCCCGCCTGGTGCCGCCTTAGCCTGGGCTGTGGTCCGAGGGGTTCTCCCGCAGGACTGAGGCTCCACCGGCGGCTGGGAGAGCGCCTCCTTCTTGGCCGCCCCCGTGTAGGTCCCCAGGGCGGGGCCGGTCCTGAGCCTTCTGTCCCTCCCCCAGCTTCAGGGAAGATAGGCGCCCCTCCCCGCTTCCTCGGCTGGCGGCGTCCACCCAGCCGTGGGCCTGCTCTCCGAGCTGACCTCCCAGTTCCATTTGTCTCATCTCCCTAAACCAGAGCCTGTCGTCAAAGATCAACTCTTCCGCGGGTGAGTCCACACGTGCGCGCCACGCAAGGCAGTGGCCCAGGGGTGTCACTCAGGGAGAAGCCTCTGCTCCAAGCAGGTGGTTGGGGGGGCCTCCCTGGGTACCAACTCCCGGGACCAGGAGCCCCACGTCGCCAGAGCCTTCAAGAGGCCCTCCCCTCCCTGCCCCTGTGGGGGGGCGGAGGCCTGCACCTGGCTAGCGCTCCCCGTGAAGTGTGGCCACCAGCTGGCCAAGTGACCCTGGCCCAGGGGCCAGCACAAAGTGCTGTCAGGCTGGTCCCGGCAGGAGCCGCCGCCCCCCACCAAGGCACCCCCGGGATCTGGGCACCCACGACCTCTGCCCCGGCACCACCCACCCCACCTTCGCAAAAGAGACAGCAAATGTCTTTGGGTGAAAGACCCTACAGGTTCAGTCCATCCAATTGAAAATGACCAGATTACCAGTCTCTCTCCCCCTTGCAAGGAGAGTACAGTTGGAAGAGAAAACTTCTCTTTTTTCATTTCAAGCAACGAATCAACCCAAATCCTGCGCCCAGACCTCCTTCTGCATGCAGGGCGGCAAGAAGCAGGAAGCCGGGTGGGGTCCCTGGCCCAGCGCACGGGAGGCTTGGACCCTCAGGGCTCCCACCCTCGGCGAGCCACGGCCCGTCCCCCCCCGCCCCTCCGCCCCACGATCGGCACGCAGAAAGGCAGGCAAACGGGGGTCTCAAGAGACGGGACTCAGGGACTGCTCGCCACAAACGCCAAAGCCAAGCCGCCCCTGGGCCATGCAGACCACATCCAGAACGCGGCACGCGCCCGGCGAGACGGGGGTGACACCAGCTTCCACCGAGACCCTCACCCTGGACCCTGGGTGCGGAGGGGCACACGTGTTCTTGGCAGGGCAGCGGACAGAACTCCTAGGCCCTGAGCCGCGGCTCTGCGGCAAGGCCCCTGGGCGTGGCTCCTGAGACCCGCACGTGGTGGGTGGTGTGGCGTGCCTCCCCTTGAGGTGGGGGGGGCTTGGAGGCTGAGGGGGCGCAGCCCACAGGAGGCTGGTGTAGAGGCGCTGGGAAGCCCTCTAGCGGTTGCCCGGGGGGACAAACGGCGGGTCCGAGCCCAGGCCGGGAGCTGGCGCTGGGCAGATAGGCTCCTCCCTGCAGGTGCCCTCACGGGGCCTGGGCTGGAGAGGGACCAGAAGGGCCGTGCCCGCTGCCCATCCTCTCCTGGGTCTCCTGACCCCTCCAGGTAGACAGCAGCCTGTTCTCTGTCACAGCAGGCAAAGGCCGACCTGCTGCGCTTCCAGCCCCGGGCTCCAAGCGTGGATGGCACGCTGCCTTCACAGGGCTCCAGCAGGGCATCCGGAGCCCCCGCCCGACCCCCCATGCCGGTGTCACCACTGTAACGCGGAGGCGGGGGCACGAGGCACGGAGGAGGCTCAGGGTCTCCTAAGCCCCAGCTCGAGGCTCACGAGCGCCAACCGCAGCACAGTCGAGAAGCTGTGGCCCAGGCAGCGCAGCATGCCGCGGACTCCCGGCGCCTCGGCTGGGGGCGGGGAGGGGAGGGAAGCCGGCGCAGGCCCACAGGACAGCCCGAGGGGTCAGCAGCGCACACCACAGCTGGTCTTTCTCTAGCCCCTGAGGCTTGTTTAGCAGGACAGTCCAACGAGCTTAGACCCCTCCTCCTGGTCTGGCCCAGGGCCCAGCAGAGAGGCCACTTGGGACCCAAGGACCCTCCCTGGGGGGCTTTCCCAGGAGAGCAAATAACCTGAGACCCATGGCAGAGAAGCGCCCTGAGGGACCCAGTGCAGGACGCCAGGCAGGCAGAGGCCCTGTGTGAAAGGGCAACTCTGGGAGCATCCGGAGCTCAGCTCCCAACAGACAGCCAAACCGAAGGTGGAGCGGCCTTGGGGGAGACGAGCACTTCGCCCGTGTGCAGCGGTCCCATACAGGTAAACACGGCCTGGGTGCAGGGCGGCGGGGGCTTGGAGCTGGCCACTGACCACTGCCGTCACCCAGGGCGAGCTCCCCATCCCCTCTCCCCACCGCCCCCACGTGGAGGGTCCGCATGAACGCCATCCTCCCCCAGCTGCTGGTACCATGTGCTGGGAGCAAGGCCCACAGTCGGAGAGAGCTGCCAGCACCCGGCAGCTCTCGGGGTGAAACCAGCCCCTGCTGCTCATTTAAGAGGCAGCGCCGCCAGGCTTCAGAGATGGAGCAGCTCAGGGAGAAGAAGTTCAGTCGGCCATTTCTTAAACCCAAACTCAGGACGGAAACAAAGAGCCCGCCCGGCGACTTGCAGGCAGCAGGCTTTTGTCGCTGCAGCTGGGTGGGGGCCCGAGTGCAGGCCTGGCTAGGGCAGCTGGCAGTGCACCGGGGCCCACCTGCTGACACTGCTAAACAGCCTTAAAGACCAGCCAGCGGGCAGAAGGGGGCGCGGCCCCAGGGACAGCGGTACCTGAGAGTAAAGTCAAAATGAAAGTTCTTTCTCCTTTTCAGAAAGCCACCAAAGAGAAAAACATGACGTTACTAGATGCTCAGGTGCGGCGAGGCACCCCCAGGCACGGCACCAGCACAGCGGTCCCCGTGCCCCGCGCAGAGGAAGAGCCGGGAACCTTGCGCTAGGCTGTGCGCTGGCCGCCTGCAGAGGCTTTGGCTCGATTCTGCCTCCGCCTTAAGGAGCTGAGCACCGTCCCCGACGGGAGCGGGGGAGCTGTACTTCATCAGCCCGGCGTGGTCTGCCTATTCCTGCCCTTCCCCACCCGGACGCCTCTGTCCGGGGGCTGGCTAAGGGGCCGCTCGATCCCCCAACCTGTGCGCCCAGGCCCACCCCGTCCTGGGCACGGCCCCTGACCACCGTCCTGCACTGGGCGGGGTGAGAAACGGGTCTCCCTGCCGGGAAGCCCCGCTATTGGAGGAGCGAGTGCCCAGGCTAGAGAAGGCAGGTCGCTGCTGGGGGCCAAGCACCAGGACCACTATTCTTGTAACTTTTACTACCGGAAGTCCCAACACACACAACGAGAAGGAAAAAGCGGCCAGCTCATTCTAACTCCGACACGCATCGGGAAAGGGTGCAGTGGTCGAGGAGAACTGGGGGCTGCTCGGATGGCTCACAGGCTCCCCCGATCCCAGCTCGGCTTCCCTCCCGCAGAGCCCAATGAGCAACCCAAGGAGCTGGGACAGCGAGAACTGTGGGCTGCCCGCCGAGACCGCAGAGGGACGGTGGGTCGCTGCCGCCGCGCCACACCCACCCAGGCCCCAGGAGGTACCTCTTCTGCTTGTAGGTCAGCATGGCCTCCGCGATGGGCAGCTGGTGGGCGCAGTTGGCCCCTGAGATGTACTGCGTGATCCTCGACACAATGTCCGGCGTGTCCTGCACTGCACGAGGAGACCAGGAGGGGTTCGTGGGGTGCTGCACGCCAGCACCCCGAATCCAGGCGGCCATGCTGGGGGCGGCTGAGCAGCTCCTCTGGCAGCCACCCTCACGGGGTCCTGGGGAGGGCAGCAAGGCCTGTCCAAGTCCTGAAGAGCCCTCCCCGGGGGCCCGGTCGCCAAGGACCTCTGAGACTCACGGTGGGCAAAGGGAAGCATCCTGGCCGAGGCTCCACTGGCCCGGCCCGCTGACCCCACCTCCCTCCCAGGCGCTCAGGCCCCAGAGGGGCCTGAGAAAAAGGCAGGCACACAGGTCGCGTCTCAGGGGACAGCGAATGACTCGGGTTCTCACGGAGGCTTGGTGGGGTGGGCGCCAGGGCTGGGGGGGCGTGGCGACGTGGGCACGCGCGCGAGGGGCGTGGCAGCGTGGGCTCGAGGGCGGGGGCGCAAGGGGCGTGGCCGGGGCCCGGGCCTCACCGGCGCTCTGGGCCTCCAGTTTGTTGAATAGGTCTCTCCAGGTCAGATCCTGGAAGAAGTTGTTGTACCTGTAGTCCACGGAGCCCAGGTATCTGGCCACCGGGTGGGAGCCTGCGAGCCGAGGGGAGAGCATCAGGATGCGCGGACCCCGCGCGCAGTTCCGCGCCTCCCCGATGACTTCGGCCCCCAACCCCCGGTCCCCAAGGAAGCGGCTTCTCGGCCTCCTTGGAACACAGATCACTCGGCCGGACCGAGGTGTGTCCTGCAGACCAGACGGCCTCTTGCGCTGCGGGGAGGGGTCTCCTCTACACCTCAGCCCTTTCCAGGAGACAGATTTGTTTGCAACATACTGCGTAAGCCGAAAAATGGGATTTTGGTTTTGATTTGCAGAGGATTCTGATAACTTTAAGAGGTTAATAACCAACCCCTGCTTGGCACTTTGACAACAAATCCAAGACGACATCGAGTCGCCCAAGCTGCGGGGCCTGCGGGCGCTCGGAGGGCGGACGCCGCTGCCGGGCATCCGCGTGGCTCCTGCGGAGGACTCAAGCGCGCCCCTCACCCAGCGGGATGACGAGGAAGCGCATGTAGCCCAGCCAGTCGGGGGTCTTGTGGGACAGCTGCTCCACGAAGAGCCGCAGAATGGCGCTGAGGTAATGCTGCGCTCCCGCCACGGCGATCTTCACGGGGGTCGGCGGCTGGGAATTGCAGTTGCAGCTGCGGTCCCGCAGGCAGGACGAGAGGGAACAGACGCCTCAGGGAGCCGCCCCCGCCGCGAGGGCCGTCCTCGCTGGGCCCGAGGGGGGCCCCAGGGCGCCCCTGCTCCCCTCCACCCGGCCTCTCCCGCGGCTCACGCTGATGGAGTCACCGGAACCCAGGCCCCCCAGGATTCCCCCAGCGCTGAGGAAGCTCCCGCCTGGGCCACTGCTCTCCTCCCTGCCCTGGCAAGACTGCGGATCGGCAGGACGGAGCCACACAAAACGCTGGGGTGCAGAGATCCCCATGGACTCCCGGGCGGCAGCCACGGAGGGTGTGGGACTCACTATCTCTGTATCCGAGAGACGATAGTGCTGAAGGCCGCCTGGACGTCGGCAGCAGAGCACGTGCACACCACGGGGAGCGTGTGCCGCTGCAGGACGTCTGAGAGGAACTGGGAGGCGGCGGAGGGTGAGCCTCCGAGCCACCCACCACCAGCCTCGCCTGTGAGCGCGCCTCGGTCAGGGTCCTCAAACAGGCAAGGCTGGCCAGACACCCCCGCCACTCCATCCTGCGGGTGGACGCCCAGCCCCTGGACGCTCCACCCTGCAGAGGCTGCACTGCCCTTCCCCCCTCCCCTCTGCAGGGAGGCTGCGCCGCCGCCTCCCCCCTCCCCTCTGCAGGGAGGATGGGCCGCCCCCTCCCCCCTCCCCTCTGCGGGGAGGATGCGCCGCCCCTCCCCACCTGCCCCTGCCAGTCCGAGGTGTTGACAAGAATGATGTTTTCGGGGAGCTGGTCATCTGAGATGAGGATGTGGTTTAACTGGTCATACACAGTCTTCCTGGGGATCTGAAGACACAGTGCCCGCCGAACCCAGCGTGAGGGGAGCTGCGCCTGCCCCTCACCTGCTCAGCCCCACTCCCTCTCCAGCAGCCACCTGGGAGGGCTCAGACACACAGTCTCGCTGTGGACAGCGGCCACGGGGCTGAAGGCGCTGCAGCAGGGCGGCAGCAGCAGCGGCAGTGGGCTGTCCCGACAAGCCCTCCAGGTAGAGAACAAGCGCCCTCGCCTTGGAGCCACCCGCCCTGGGCCAGCCGGGGGTGGCCGGGGTCCCCGCCCTGCGCTGGGCACCCACCTGCAGCTGGCTCCGAGTGTCCGGGCAGCGCTCGTTGTCCAGGCTGTTGGCCCGCTCGTTCTGCGGACGCGCCGGCTGCCGCTCCTTCAGCGACGTGCTCCGGCCCCGGCGGCCGGCCTGCTTCCCCTCGGCCCTGCGGGGGAAGGGACGGGCTGGGGCAGCCTGCAGGAACTCACTGCCCCAGGCAGGGGCCACCCAGCAGCAGAGGCAGTTGAGGATGGTCGTGGTGTGGTGTGCACTGTCAGGCAGCAGGGCCGAAGGCCACACAGAGCCCACGAACCCCAGAGGGCCCGAGGGCGCCTGTGGGGACTGAGACCTCCCACGCCCGGGACACAAGCCTGGTGCAGCCCAGTGCCCGGCGGCCTGGAGCTCCTCCCGGCCCTGACACAGGCCTCTGTGCGCCCCAGCCAGGCCAGTGCCGGCGCCCAGACCCACTGCTTCTGGAAACTTCCTGTCACAGAAACATAAGACAGGGCACCCTGGTGCTCGAGGTGCCTGCCCCGCTGGGTCTCATGCCAGGGCAGGGGCTGCCATCGGGTAAAGAGCTAGGCTGGGGGTTTCAATACCAAATGCCGTATCAGTGCTGGGTTTTGTTTCTCGTTTCTGTGAGTAGACGTGCGTGGGGTGGCGGGCAGGCGGTGGGCAGTGAGGGCTGATCTGTGGGGCACCACCCTTGAAAATCGGGGCATAAGGCCTGATGCAGCGTGCTGAGCGACAGCTGCACGGGACTGCAGCCCCGGGAGAGGGCGGGGCGGAGGCCCATGCCGGCTCTGTGGCCCTCCAGGGGGCAGCGAGCTGTGGGGTGGGATCTGAGGCCCTGAGGCAGTGGTGGGCATGTGGCCAACTGTGGCCGGGGGCGGGGGGGGGGGGGGGGGAGGTGACCACGCAGGGCAGCTCAGAGGGCGAGGGTGGGTGCCCAAGGAAGGAGCAGCAGAGCCGGAGCAAGGACCTGATCGAGGTGGGGGAGGGGAAGAGGGCACGTGAGGGACCCAGAAGGTTCGTCCACCACCAGGAAGCCACCTGAGGTCACTGCACCTCAGACCCCAGCTTTTGATGCGGCGCTCACCCAATTACATGACCCACTCTGGGAGGCAGGGTCCTCGGGACCCCGGCCCAGTTGCCACCCCCTCCCCCGCCCCACAGACGTCCTGCGCTGGACCCCTCACAGTCCGTGAGGGCTGCTGTGCCCGTCCACACAGGCGCTGGGTCCAGCTCTCCCGACGCAGCGCACGTGGGCTCAGCGGGGCACACCCTACGTGCTCCGGCACCCAGCACCACGGGAGCAGCGGCACCTAGCACAAGCCCTGCTCCACTCGTACAGTCCCTGGTCCAGGAGAACGTGAGTCAAGGACAGCGGGACCTCCCCTGCCCTCGGAGCAAGCAGCCACACCTCGGCCCGGTCAGACCTGCAGGCGCCTAGTTCAGTGCGGATGGGGGGTGGGGGTCCAATGTGGACCTCCCGGGACGGGCCTGGAGACCTGAGTGCTTCCCAGGTGACGCTCATCCGGTCAGACGGTCCCTCCCACACAGGCCCACACAGGCATTGCCGGCCTGATGGCCTCCCCGGGCGGCCAGTCACCTGGTGGAGGGAATGACCAGAGACTCTGTCTTGGTGATCCGCCCACTGGGTGGCAGCTTCTCGGTGAACGTGTCCAGGGCAGAGGGCTCCACCTCCGGGCTGTCCTCGGGCGGGGCTGGCTGCTCCCCCGGGGTGGGCGCGCTCTGACGGACAGAGAATGGCGCTGGTCAGGAACGCACGCCCCCCGGGGCCTCCTCTCGGCCATGCGCTCCTGTGCCAGAGGGGCCCTGGGTTGGGTGAGGCTGCCTAGGCCTCTCTTGGTCTGGTGGCTCCCTGCGTGTGGACACGGCCACGTGCTGCCCTGGGAAGTGAGCTGACTTCACCCTCCAACCACAGGGCTCAGTCCTGGCTGCCACCGAGAGACCCGCACCAACCCTCCCCAAACCTCCTCTGGACCTTCCCTAAGAACCCTCACAAGGGCAGCAGGAACCAGCCGTGGTGTTCACGGGCCGTGCCTGACAGGGAAGCGTGGGGACGCATGCTGCCCCCCAGAGCTGGGGTGAATCCAGGGCGGGCCTTGACCATCCCCCTGCGGTGTGGTGAATCCGGGGGGCCCTGAACGTCCCCCAGGGGTGGGGGTGAATC